CGACAAGACGTATCTGCACGTGAGAAAGCTGCTGCCTCGCAACACGCAGGTATTCTCGTCCACGCTGGAATTCGTGTTTGTCGACAAAGGATCGGCGCAGGCGAGCGTTACCAGTCTCGGCAGTCTCCACAAACCGATTGTCCCGGGTAAACAGTTCTTGGGCCCGAATACGGCCTACAGGATACAACATCGCGAGTACGTCTCTACGTGTATAAACGTATGTAAAACGGACGACGATGGTCGCGGTAGAAGTTGCGATTCTTTCCGCGGCTGTTGAGATGGATGGACAGCGAGAACGACAGCGCCGGTCCGAGGATCAGCTCCCTCAGTCTCGTCTCCGTCGAGAAGTACACCTTGCTGTACAATCGGCTGAAAGAGAAGTACAGCACGGAAATGGTGAGGATATGGCCGGAGAACACGGACCCGGCGAAATTCGTCTACGGGGATGTCGCGATCGCGACTTACCTGTAATTGCTCTGGGAGAAGGAGAGGCTGGAGAAGGGGACGCAGGAATTGCAGTCGTTCGTCGATCTCGGCTGCGGAAACGGTCTTCTCGTTTACATCTTGTCTAGCGAAAGTCACAGGGGGACGTGAATCTATCTGCGCAGGAGGAAGTTCTGGGATCAGTTACAAGTGTGTGAAAAAATTCGCTTCATCTACTTGAATGAACTCGGATATTACGTCAGTCCATAATTATCCTGTATTGCTCCTTCATTAATAAATTTATTGTAATTTTATGAGTAATCTTTTTACTTCATCTATATTTAATCGATAAACACAAACAATTTATTGATTGACATAACATTTAACGCCAATACTCATTTTATCGTGTAAGTGTACTTTTGTTTTATTTTAATAATCGTATGACTTGTAGGTCGGCACGATCGTTCCAGCCTCTGACACGGTCTTCTCCGGCATGGACTGGATCATAGGTAATCACTCGGACGAGCTCACCCCGTGGATTCCCGTGATTGCCGCGCGTAGCTCCTACGAGTGCCAGTTTTTCCTGTTGCCGTGCTGCGCCTACGAATTCGACAGTAGCAAGTATCGGCGGTGCAACGCCGCCGAGAGCCAGTACTCGGAGTACATGTGCTACGTTAGAAGCGTATGCGAGGGTTGCGGCTTTCTCACGTCAGTGGACAGGCTGCGAATCCCGTCGACCAAGCGGACTTGTTTCGTCGGATGGAAGAGGACTTGCGCAAAGGAGAATATCGCGGCGCTGGACGCCGATATCCAGAGGATCATAAACGCAAGATCCCGAGTGGATGACGTGAAGACCGAGGCGGAGAACGGCGATCTGTGGTCCGTGAGCTTCAAACCGAGGGACTCGGCGGAACGAACGCGAAATTGCACGCAGCTGGACAAAGAGCTGATCCTCGAGATAGTCAACGTGGTCGCGGTGCATCTCCTCCACGCGGGTCGCCGGATACCATTGGAACGGAGACCCGGTGAAACGTGGAACGCCGGCGGGCAGATCGGCATCGGCGAGGTGGCGAAGCTGATCGCGCCCGGGATGCTGCAACAGCTGCGAAACGAGTGCGGCGGGCTGCAAACTTTATTGAAGAATCACAGTCACATCTTTTGCGTCGCTCAGGGAAAGGTGCAGTTTAGGATTCCCGGCACCGTTGACAAGAGGAAGAGAAGGAGAAGGAATGCTCGCGAACCTTTGAGGAAGGTGAAACCTTGCTGGTTTTACAAAAACCACCCCGACGGGTGTCCCGCTCTCGAGATCGATTGCGACTTCCAGCACTGAGTTTCCTTTGGTGTTTGTTGTTCTACGTTGCGAAATTTTATATGTACTTATCTAAGTCAAACGTGTACGTAACGGTGCATTTTATTTTAAATAAAAGAAGATAAATGTCGGTTGTGTGACAAACTGCTAAAATAAAAAAAAGAAATTCTTTCAGGCAACAATTTCACGACATGTGGCTCAGCGATACAAAATGTAACAATAGTCGACTAAACGAATGGTATTAAATTACATCTCGAGCATATTGTTACAGCATTAGCGATACGCAAAATACATCACAGCTTTTATCATTATAATTAACGATTAACGTACGAAATCTCTTTTCTCTTCAGATCTGTTCACTATTTGGAAGCGTAGTATTTAATCGTCTGTGAACTCATTTGCGGCACATTTGTAATTAGTACATTGTATTACACACCTACGAGCAATTTGCTCGGATCACAAGATTGATTTTCTCGAAGAGACTTCTTTTGAAACTTTTTAGAAAACGTTTACTTGAGAAAATCCACCACCAGTATGTCGTCCAGGTTTAGTAGCTTGGTATCGCTGCCTTGATTGTCCTGTAGAAGCGCGCCCAACATCTGCTGGCCACTCTTTAGCTTCTTGACGTCGAGCATGACCAGCTGGTGGACGCGTCTCAGATGCGTCTGCAGGTTGCACTTTTGCGTGAATAAATGCTTGCAGTGCGGGCAGGAGTACGGCCGATCACCGGTGTGATGGTTCTGGTGTAGCTGCAACGTAAACTTCTGCGCGAACGACTTGCCGCATTGCTCGCACTTGTACGGCCGTTCCCCCGTGTGAATACGCTTGTGCCGTTCCATCTGATACGGCTTCATGAACGTTTTGCCGCACACGTCGCACTCCTTCCTTGAAGGCTGCGTCGAAGCCTTCACCGTCGTCGTCGCCGTTGCCGGCATCGTCGTTGCCATCGTCATCGTTCGATCGCTCGTCCTCACTTCAGATACCCCGGCGCCGGTGTCTTGAGTCTGCATCTGTACGGATACAGGAGGCATACAATTGTTCATCTGAGTAACTGTCGCGTTGCTCGTGTCCGCAGTTGTCGTCTCCGTCAACACTTGGTTGGTTATCAGCATGTGATCAGCGTTACCCAGGTCGCAAGCTTCCTGGAAAGGATCCGGATTGACTAACTCGATCACATTGGTTGGCACTCCGACGCCGGTGGTATCGGAACCGTTTGTCGCCGGCTGCGTCAGCAGGATGTCGTCCGTTTGAATGGTAACGAGACCGTTCGCCAGCAGGAACTGCAGATTCGCCACCAGCTCGTTGTTCTCGTTCACGGACAGCATAGAATTGTTGTTGAGAATCGTTGCCGTCGTCGCGTCGGCGTGGTCAAACGCGATTTGATTCGGCAGATGAACCGTAGTACCGAGATTCACTGTCTGTTCCAACGCGGGATAATCCAGATTCTGCGATGACGCAGTCTCGTTGATCATGGCAGGGGTCGTCGTCATTGTCGTCGACGCATTATCCAGAGAACTATTGCCGACTTTTTCGAGGCTGGCCACCGCTTCCGCCACCGCAGCAATCTTCGAATGCTTCGACTTGCGCTTCGTGCCGCCTATAAGGGACATAAATTCCCTCGCGTGTTTCCGCATGTGTACCTTCTTGTGTCCCGAAGTGCGGAATCGTAGATCGCACACGGAACATTTGAATGGTTTCGAACCTAGAAGATTTAAAGCGTGTCGTTATGAATTATCGTTTTTCTTCAAGCAAGATTCTCATATTCAGCACACATAGCTCTAATTTAAAAGTTATAGATGAACGAGATATTCAAACAACAAGAATTAATCCTCCTTGTAATTATTTTCGCTAAATTGTGATATAAAATAATTCATTATTCAAGGAATCACTCTCACCCGTATGCAATCGCATGTGGACCTTCAAACTGCCCTTCGTAGCGAACATGCTGCTACAGACGTGGCAGCAGAACGTCTTCTTTCCCGTGTGAACCTTCATATGCGCATCCAAAGTGCACTTGACTGCGAAGCTCTTGTTGCAGTGATCGCACTTGTACGGTCGTTCGCCCGTATGCGTGCGAATGTGCCTGATAAGATCGCTCGGTTTACGGAAAGTTTTCGGACAGTACTTGCACTTATTAATGTATTCCCTCGTCTCTTTTTTCTCCGCATTCTCCTGAATGATCAGATGACGTTACAATGATAAGTCACTTGGCCGATGCAAGACTTTGTGCGAACCAGTGCAAATATTGTATGTACTTACATCAACGCGGTCAATGCTTTTTCTCTCAGCGACTGCGGCCATCAAAACCTTCTCGGAAACCGACGGGTTCGGATCTCGCATATACAGCGTTGTCATTAGCTCCGATAGGCCGGGGTTCGAGGAAGTAAGATCTTTCTGAGAACTGTCTGGTTCCGTGGATGAAACATTCCAAGACTCGGTATGCATTTTATTGTGAAATTTCAATTGCTGTTTGCTGCCCAGTGTCTTCTGGCAGGTCGTGCATTTCCACCGCCTGTGAAAAAGTAAAAAAAAAAAAAAATTATGATTTTTTATTGAGACGTGTTTGAGACATCTTTTGTTATGTCAATTAAATCATTTACTGCTTTGTGTGCATCTTCATATGCCTGCTGAGGCCGCCATTTGTACAGAATCGTTGGGAACATTCCGAACACTCAAACTCTTTGGCACCGCGATGAGTTTTCAGGTGTTCCTGTAATAATTATGTTAATTGCATGATTATTTTATTACATGACTTAGAAAGTAATTGCAATGTACGAATATCTAGGAAATGTTTCTCGTACCTTCAATCTCTCTGTCGTGAAACCTCGATCGCCGCACATGTGGCACTGCAGCAGAGTGTTACACCCCACCGAGCTGTCCATGCCAGAAGAAACAAGTGTCTCCGACTGTATTGTGCTCTGAAAATTCTTCCTACAAGCAGCGCATGTCTCTTAATTATTTGATAGTAAAACGGTTTTACACATACGAATTAAAATAACTTACATAAACAAAGAATTTTTTTCATTCTCGCATGACTCAGTACTGCTTTTTTGCATTGTTTTTTCATGTTCACTTGTGCCTTGTATCTCCGATCCATTTGTGGTGTCTGCCTTCGCGATGACTTTCGAGTACTTCGACGGGGACACTTGTGAGAGTCTCACCAATTCCGAGCAATTCTCCTTAGGACTTATTACCACCAGATGAGTGTTTCTCGTAATTTGAGAAGCGTCTACATTGCTGTT